GCGGCCTTTTTCATCAGCAATCACATATAGCAAATCTCCTTCAACATTCAAACCAATGTAATTTGATTCCAAACATGACTCAGATTCTGATATCACCATGCAAATTATTCTCATATTCCATTTCTCCACTCTAGTTTGGTAGTAGTTGAGCAACATCCCCTGAAGATCAACAGATGATAACCAAACAGATAATGATTTAGGATCACAAATAACTAGATTGCTTTCCTTGCTATCAAGTGATGTCAAACTGACCTGGAAAGTCAGATCCCAAAACTTCTGCATTTTTTGCTCAAAGCAAGTGCAAGTTTCAGTAATCATCATTTTCTTTTGCTCATTCCAAGGAATTATACTTGCAGCAGAATCAGTAGTGCAACATTTCCCTTCTCTAACTTCCAGCAAACAAACTAATGGCAGCCAAGGTGGCATGACAAATAGTCTGAGCTTGTCAACATGTTTTCCTTTGAAGGAAAAGTTCACAGAACCAAATTGCCCAGTACTGCTCAGCTCCACAACCATCACTCTTGCAAGAAGTAAGTGACTCCAACTTAAGTAGCAGTTGCCCTTTCTTTCCATTTCAACAAAAGATAGCCCCAAAAGTAAATATTCAGGTTCACCAGCAGCATAGATACCTTCCTTGCTAGTGGCTGCTATAAGGTTGATCAAAAAGGACAACTCACTTTTCACTCCAACATTGAATTTCAGCTTATTGCTCCACAAAATTTACCTCCAATGAAAATAATGTTGTGGGAACCAATCATCCATCCATATTAATATTTTGCGAAGGTGGACCTTTCCATCACCTGGATCCCACTCTAGTGGCCCAAACATGACATGTATAATGTTCAGCGAGTTTACCAATGAAAATTGCTTGCCCACAAAGAGTTGAAACCATTTCGCTTCGGTTGGAGGGGGCCAAGGTGGCAGTATATGTACTTTACAACAGCTGCAGTTGAATGCCAGCCATGACATTAACTGTGACTCCAATATGATCAACTCTTGATCCCTTGATGTTATGGGTGGCCATGGATCAACCTCAAAGTGTTGCAACAGCAGTTGCCATGGAACTAACAAATGTCCTTCAACTGATTCCACTAACACTGGGGTGCTTAAGAAGGACAAATAAGACACAACTTGAGAGTTGTTAGACCCAGAACATTTCGCTGAATACCTGGTGGGCATCAATGTGTAATGCTTGATGTCGGCGATCATCCTTGGTGAGAAGGCGCTCAATGATGCAATGGATGCTGGAACGGTCTCAAGTACAACCGTCTTGGTCAGGAACGCGATGTCGGCTTTGTTGGCGTCCCACTTGACATCGAAGCCCAACATCGAACACTTGGCGTGCGTCTCCTTGGAATAGTCAGTGGTGGGAATTTTGGTGGTGCTGGTTGCACCATTATCAGCTACCAACTTCATGGAGGCCATGGCAGTGGCGGCACATTTGACCATCGCAACCAGTGTGAGTTTGGGCTCGATGTCGGGACTAGAGCATTTCGTCAAACATGTGGTGGGCGTCACCTTTGACTGCTCTTTCTTAATTGACGCTGGCAAGTCTTTTGCCTTCTTCCCAACTTCCGGTGTGCATGCTTCAACCACATCTATGAGAGACCGTATATCAGCTCTAGTTCTCCGATCAGCCTCCTCTCGCCTCAGCTCGTACTCCTCTATCCGCCTCAACAGCAAGTCCAATTTGTCTTCTATTGCCATGGCACCCTACTTGATGAGAACTTTCTCAACTAGACCAAGAGCTAGATGGGGGAAACCAGGCTGGCTCTGATACCAGATTGTTAGGAACCCACTACTTCCAGCTCAACAACTAGCATCCACCATAGAAGCAACAACTGCTTTGGGGACAAGAGAAGACGACGGCGACATTTTGGCAATCTTCGGCGAAGGAAAACCGATGGCCGGGCTTCAGCTTGGCGCTGCGATGCTGAGGAAGACGACGGCGAAAACCGACCACCACGGAGTCATCGACAGGGCTCGACCGGAGGTGGAGTAGATCGGCTTCACGTCGATGAGGGGATTCCAATGGGTTTCAGCTTCGGGAAGATGGCTGCCGGGCTTGCTCTTGACCTTGCGGAGCCGAGGGAGGAAGCAGCTAAGACCGAGGACGGCCAGGGCGACGGCGAGATGCGGCTGGAGCGGCGGTCGGCGGTAGACTGAGTAGGCGAACGCGGCGGCAGCGCTACAAGCGACGGCAGAGATAGGGAGAGGTGGCGGCCGAAAGAGGAGAGGGAGGGGACTTTATTTATAGGAGTGGGAAAGAGAGATCGGCTCGGGAACGGATGGATTCGTTGAAGGAAAATTAGGGTTTGTTTTTGCAGAGATAAACTCAATCCGAGCTCGATTCCGTGTCGAATTAAAAGGGATAAAGTCTAGGGAAACGGAAGAGAACCAATTCAAGAAACGGCTGAGAGAATCGAGCGAATCGGGCGGAGGAAACGGCAGCGTCTCGGCAGCTGCACGGGCTCTATCTGGAGCTGGAAGACGACACTGTAGCTGGAGGGAAAAAGTATAGACTTTCAGCTGGGCTTCATATTCCAAGGCCTGATTAAAGAGGGAAGCAAATGCCCGGTTTACGGGAGCTTCTCCCAGCTGCAGCTTTTCCCAAAAGCTGCTTCTGTTAGAAGCTGCCTCAAACTGTCCATAGCTTCTGAGAATCTGTAGTTACAGATTCTGAAAAATGAACTAAGAAGCCAAAAGCTGGAGAAGATGGGTTTCAGAGCTTTTCCACATTCTCAGAAGCTGGCTACCAAACAGCTGCTTCTCAGAATCTAAAGCTCCCCCAAATAGCCCCAAAGCAGACTTCGACAGAGAGAAAGAGGCTGCTGGATCGGCTGGGCTGAAGGGGAGAGATGGGCCAGATTAAGACCTGAGCTTTCGAAAGGATTTTAATTACTTTTCCAACTAAATTAATCACTGAAATGATATTTGAATTGTTAAAAATACTTCAAATACTGAAATATGTTCAAGAAAAATCTCGCAACTACTTGGACACTTAGAGTATTTAACAAACTTAAGATAAGATCATTTAATGACTAATTTAATATTTAAATAATTCCTAAAATGTTCTTTGTATTATTAAAATTAGTAATTGAGCTCTAAAAAATCCGAGAAAATTTCAGAGAGTATAATTAACCATGTAGAATTTAATAAAATTTAATCCATCCATGCTTTATATTTAGGAAATTTTATTTCCCACATTTAACTTCACTTGTTTATTAATGTACATTTAATATAAATTTTAATAATAATTTATTAAATAATTTATAAATCCTAATACGAAAATAAGGATGTGACAAAGACTGCTAGAAGAAATCACAAGAAGAAAGATAGTGACTTGACTCCTACAAATGAAGGGATTCATCTTACACGCAGTGTGGAGATTATGGGTAGTTGGGTACCACATACCCACATGGCACGTATATCCGACTGGTTATAGGTGATAGCTTGTACAGATAGAATATGTTTAGGAAATGACTCGGGAATTATGTTAACTTGTATGTCAAGAAAATATCCAATAGTGCCAGTTAGTTACAGTTGTAATACATATTCGTTAGCCTAGTACGTAAGCCATATGGGCTGTACATTGTAATCTTGGCTCCTCCCCCTATATAAGGTCGGGTCCAAGTGTACCTAGGGGCATAACTTTTCTCCCAGATCATCAGATCAATAATACACTCGGTGGAATAATTCCCCGGCTGTATAAACCTTTGCCTCCTACGTCCTAACCTATCCACTTTTCCAGCTTGATTGCTACCCCTTTTAGTATTGCCGGAATCTTGTTTTGACAGTTGGCGCGTCAGGTAGGGGTTGCGCCATGTTTTTCGCCGACTAGTGCGATGGGATTCATTTCGGGCATCACCGACTTCGCTTTCCCTCCCGGGCAGACGTGCTGGTTCGGCGGCCCATGGACCTCATCAGCCACCCGTACATGCATGCAAAGAAGACATCGTACGACAGATCAATCCATGATTATAAATCAAGCTAATAATATTATATAGATTGTGAAAGAAGTTCTTCTGTATATGTGCAGAATGAAGGATCCCTTAAAGCAAATTGTTTTTGATTGGTTGCAAGCTTTATAGTTTTATTTAACTCCTTCGACTGTAACTTTGTAAATATTTTTTGAGTTATATAAAATTACACTGCTCGGCAAAGCCCTGGCAGTATTTCAGGTCAAAAAAGATTTCATATAGATTGAAACGACAAACCAATCGACGTCAGAGATTAGAATCATCGATCTCATTGAGATTGCCCTCGAGCAAAAACAATGCCTTTGATTCCTGAAGTTGTTTCCATTGCACTTCTTGATGGATAATTCGACGCTTCCCCTACCTGTCGCGCCAACTGTTTAAACTGGAATTCGGCAATATGAAAAAGAGTATCGCACGAGACATAAAAGTGGATGGATGTGAAGACAAGAATTTAGACAGGTTCAGGCCCTCTCGATGAGAGGTAAAACCCTACACCTGTTTGGGGATTTGTATCCGCCAGGTGGATATTGATCTGATGATCTGATTGTGGTTATCCGTGCTGATGCCCTTGTAGGGGCTCATTGCCCGCCTTATATAGGTTGGGGGGCAGGGTTACAAAGTAGAAAACAAGCCAGACAGCCCACTCTAGTACATAATAGATGGATCCGGCCCACTCCTATCTCTAGTCGAATATGGAGGCCGTGTCGGTACCCGGTACGCATACTCTCCACAAGTTTCTCTACAGGAACAAGGACGATCAATAACTAACTATCTGTTTTCTCTTTTCTATTTTGGTTCACACAGCTACACATTGACATTTATTTTTAGCATTAAATGCCTAGCTCTAGCCTTGATGTTTACTTACATTTTTCTATTGTAATTTTATGTTTTTGTTTTAGCATTGGTGTGAATCAGGATACTCCTAATAATATATCAACATATTTTGGTTGTCATCTTTTTGTGTAGTTTGTTTTGACCAGAAAAAGGTTGCTTAAAATAAAAAGAAAGATTCATGCAAGCTGAAATAATTCACACGATAGATAAATTTATTTCCGAAATTTGATAACAATGTTACAAATGTGGCGTGCATGCGATCAATGTGTGGGAAGCAAGTATCACAATTAATTAATTGAAATACAAAAGTATGCACGATATAATCGACGGTGGTGTGTATCCAAAAGAAATTTAGCGTAAGGCCTATATATAAGAAAGAACTGAGGAATTGTATGTATGAAGTTGAATGAAAAAATGATATATAATGTAGAATTGAGAGTTGGGAATATATGAAATAGAAAATTGAGAAAAACAATGTTACCAAAAATCGTGGACAACACCACTAATCGATCATGGGAATTAACAACAAGTATAATAAATAAAATAATGTACTTCCACTTAGTAGGTAGCTAGAGAGCATGCGTAGACCCAGAGGTTGGTGCTTAGGATGGTGGCGGCCACCTCGGCGACCTTCACCTGGTTGCCCTCGAAGAAGGCAGCGTAGGGGAGGAGATGGTCATAGCAGAAGCTGGAGCCGTCGCGGTCGGCCTGCAGGGCGGTGTCGCAGCAGGAGCGGACGAACGCTGCCGCGTCCGCGGAGGGCGCCTCCCCTGGCGCCGCCGCAGGTGGCAGCACCACCACTGGCTTCTCCTCCTTCGCAGCGGCCGCACATGGTGGGGATAAGCCGCCGGCGCTGACGACCATCAACACCACGAGGACGGTGGCCATGCTCGAGCTCGACCTGCTCATTTCTGTATATTATTTATCTCTCTCCCTCTCTCTCTCTCTCTCTCTCTCTGCTTGTTTCGTTACTACAGGATGAATTACTTCATAACAACGAGGTACAATTTATACTAGTAGGCTCGATTGGTCGTTAACTAATTAACCACAACCTTTCTTTCTAATTTATTCAATGGCTGTTCTAGCATCACGGCATGTCTTTTTGGTGTTGTGATGTAGTGCCATGCTTGCAATTATAAACTACTATATTAATGCAACTAATTGCCCATATATAGACAGCCTGCTCGCTTTTTGTTTCATATCCATTCACTTAGGCGCCTAGCATTGGCTTCTATATTTTTGTCAAATCCTTGCATTTTTCCTTGGTTAATCATTAGGTCTAGAAATATAATGATATATAGTTTAAAATTTATTTAATATAATATACGAATATCTACAACAATCTATTTATCTTAACCAATCACAACTACTACTGCTCGTTTAATTTTCTCACATAACTACTCATCTCATTCAATACTAACTCTTTATTCACATACTCATTGTTAATATCCAGAAAAAAAGCTCCAAATATATTGTTAGACGGAGAGAATTATTATTTTGGAAGCAACTGCACCACAGGCCAGAAGCAAAATTCAGCTATATAACTACTCTCTCCGTCCCACAATATAAATGATTTTGCCCTTTAAATTTGTCCCAAATGTAAGATATATATTTTGTGATCCGCGACGATATTTTATACCCAACCTATCAACTTAGTGCTACTTTTTTCCCATCTACTAATTTTTACCAATTTATTTTCCATCTATCAATTTTTTTTATTCCCTCCGTTCTATATTGTAAAACTTTCTGGCCCTGCCAATATAATATCAACCCAATTGATGAGAGAGAAACCACATAAAACAATAGTTTTGTGCTTGTGTTTCTCCCTTCTTCCGGTCTTCTTCCGACGCTCCTCTCAGTTCTCACGCGCCCCCTGTTGTGCGTAAGGTCATAGACCACGCACGTGTGCCCCGCTGCCCCGTCCTCACTGCTACACCGCTCCGCCGCGAGGGCTCCACGGCCAAAGCTGCGCAATCATGCTGCTGCTCCTCATGTGTGTACCCCTGCGTGTGAGGTAAAAGGCTGCCACTACGCCACGGAGTCCTCATCGTTTCCGTGGGGACCATGTCATCGACCCTTCCATCCATGATGCCCCGCCAGAAGGCCTCCGCAACTGCCTTCTTGTCGCTCTGGAGGAGTAGCTCCCTCCTGTTCATCGTGTCGGTGAACTTCTGTAGGATTAGCTTGGCGAAGACGTCGATGATGTTGAGGCCGGTGTCAACCTCGCTTATGTACAAGAACAAGCGGTCGTTGTCGACCAGTTTCGACCGTCAATATTATCCAATATATGAAGACTACCTATGGTTGCAATGCATAATTCCCAAATAAAATAATTACTTCCACTATATGCTATGCTACTAACATGTATGCAGGAGAAGCACTCATAAATGAAGAGAAGGATGTGGAAATATATCAATCAATCAGTCGAAAGTCTGCTGGTGATCTGCAATTGCATGAGAAGGCCCAAAAGTCCAATTTAACAATCACAAATGGGCCTAGAATGTATGTCACTGATTTAGGGGCCCACATGGAAGTCTCCTGGAGGAAGCTGGGGCCAGAAGAGCCCATATAGGGTATATACTGTTTTTAGTAAACTGTTTTTTATTATTAGTAGTAGGTAACAGTTTATACTCTTTTTTCGTGCAGTATATTTCCTAGCTATGTATATGCTGCCATTTCTGCATGAAAGTATATACTGTTTTTGTTTTTAGTAAGCAACGGTATATACTGTTTTTTTTTATTTGTAGTAGGCAGCAGTTTATAGGCAGCTGCCATATACTTCATTTTGATGTAGAGAAATATATACAGATAAATATCCCACATACGTGTTTTTTATGACAGTATATACTTATTTTTTTTAATAGTATATACTTCTTTTTTTTACTTAGTACTGTGCTTCACCAAAGTAGTTTAAGTACTGTGCTTCAGTTAAGACTAGTATATATACTGTTTCCTAGGTGGTAGCAATATACATATATACTTCTTTTTAAGGTGGTAGTAACATATACCTTTTTAAGGTGCAGGTTTATACTTTTGTTAAGATAATTGCAGTATATACCATTTTTAGCAGTAGCAGTATATGCTATTTTTTAAGATAGTAGCAGTATATATGCTATTTTTATTACTTGCTTTTACCCTGTCGCAGAACTCAGTGTTCGTGCTGCATGCACGTATTATGATCCAAAAGTTTTAGTATATTCTCAAAGATATATGTAGTTCCAAAAGAACTAGCCTCACAGACGAGAAAACATGATCAAGAACACAAATTGAACATGCTGAATCGCAGATTGAAAAGTAATAATGTACATCCAAATCACAGTTTGTCAAACAAGGATCCTTCCCCTTGCGTGTATATTCTCTCCGCTGGTGCCGTTGGATTGTGGCGTTGAGTCGACATGTTCTGCAGACGGCCGGCGCGGCCGGACACCACCTGCAAGCAACAAAAAGATTAGGGGCTTATTCATTCAAATTTCAAGGAACTAAAGAAATCCATCACAAACCACTATCCTGGAACAACATTCACGCATGCAAAGGACAATTAATCTACCATCTGTTGATGACATTTTTTTCATCCAAATCACAGTATTTTTCATTCTGAACTCTAGGATTAATTTTTATCTACGTGTACGTACAGAGATTAAAAGGAAGAAGAATAAGAAATAGTGTATACTCATCTGAGTGTGGATCTGTGATTCAGAATTTCATATATAAACTAAGAACAGTACACACCACCATCCTGGAGATCTGGTAGTAGCGATAGGCCGCCACGGCTGCCTTGACTAGACATATATGAAAACAAATCACAACTAATGGTGAAATTAACTAACAAAGGTGCTTACCGGATCTCATCGAGATCGAGACGATCAATTGGATTAGACAAAATACCTGGCCACCGTGATCTCTGTGCGTTTTAATCCTTGCGGCACTCTAGCAGCTGACCTATAACCCGTTCTGATCTCCGCTTAATAAGCGAGAAACAACGGAAAGAAAAACGAACTGGAGAAAAGGAGTAGATCAGCGCATCGCCAATACCTAGACCTATTCTCGTTCTGTCGAGCGGAGCCAGCCAATGCCATTCCGTGGTCCTCCGACGCCGGTAGGGCAGAAGACACCAGGCCGATGGATCACGCCGTCGCTTCCGACTCGTCGTTGACGCCAAATCAATGATGTAGATATGCTGCCCTTGTCGGCAACGATGCCAACCCCTCCGAAGATCGAGGTCTCCACTGATAACTGATTTATCGATCTAATGAGCTGGGAAAAGGGATTTATCTATCCGGTTTTCCGATTACCGCGGGTTAATTAAGATTATGTTTTTTTTCTTGTTAAAAATGAAAACGGGTCCGTTCTGTGAATCCGGTAACGGGCTTCTTCGGGGTGGCTATGATGGACGGTAGATGGGAGCGGGAGCACTAGTCAAGAAATCGTTTTTAGTCCCGGTTCATAACCCCCTATAGTCCCGGTTTTCAAACCGGGACTACGAATTCGGGGCTAAAGATCCCTAATCTTTAGTCCCGGTTCAAATATCTGGGACTAAAGATCGATTTACCAACCGGACTAAAGATGGGAGTGGGCAATAGTTTTTTTTTTCATTTACTTACTATTTAATCTCTAATTTATTTTCTCCCAAATTAGGTGGGATGCATACCATCCCAAGTACAAAAATCAATCATATACACTACAGATTATACAACCCAAGTCAAACCCCAAATCAAAGAAACATCCCAAATATATAAATCATACACAAATCATGTACATCTCAGATCCATACCATAAGATTCAAAAAAAAAATATACATCTCAATCCATACAATGAACCACAGATTCTTCATCTCAAACTACACATGGATCACAAATTATTTGAAAAAAAAAGAAAAAAAACGAAGCAAAGCCGCCGGCCGGCTGAGCCGGCTACTACCTCCCCTCCTCCCCGGCCGCCGCCACGCGGCCCTCCACGCCGCCCCTCCACGACGGCGGCCGCGCCGGGCCGCCCACCGCCTCCTGCTGCGCACACTGGATCGAGTTGGGAAGGGGAGTTGGGAAGGGATAAGAAGGAAAAGAGATAAGGAGGAAGGGAAGAGATAAGATTAGAGATGGAGGGAGAGAGGAGTGGGTGTGGATGAGAAAAGAGTGGACGAGAAAAGATGATAAATAATAGGGATTATATAGTGTGTTTTGATCTTTAATCCCGGTTCGTAACACCAACCGGGACTAAAGATCACGTGATCTTTAGTCCCGGCTGGTGTTACGAACCGGGATTAGGCCTGACAACACCTGATAGCATGTGAACCGGGACTAAAGATCGGTTGGTAACACCATCCAGGACTAAAGATCACGTAGTCCCGTTCTACTTATAAACCGGGACTAAAAACCATCTTTAGTCCTGGTTTTTACTGCATCCGAGACTATTGTGGTTTTTGTTCGACCGGGCAAAGATGATTTCTCCACTAGTGGAGTACGTACTCCTAGGTGTATGGAATCATTTACTCTTCTGTATACCTAGGTGTATGTGTATGTACTCCCTCTTCCTTGTTGGATATCCATTAGTTGATAATGAATAGTTAGATTAAAAAGAAATAAATAATATTATTTTTTCAAATTTCTTCATGTCCATCCGTAGGTGTTCTATTTTTTCAAATTTTTGCATGCATGCACACTGCCGAGGAATGGGCACGTTTAAAATTTGCATAGCACTTCATACAGCTTTTTCTAGATCATACTATGTACCACCATACATTGGCTATTGGTAGTATATACTTTTTTTTTCTATATCGGTACTATATTTCACTTTTTTCTGGATCAGTAGTATATACCACTATTTCTAGATCAGTAGTCACTGGTGGAGAAACCCTTTGTAGTCCCGGTTCGTAACCCCCCTTTAGTCCCGGTTTCCAAACCGGGAGTACCAATCCGGGACTAAAGATCGCTATCTTTAGTCCCGGGTGAAATAACCGGGAGTAAAGATCGATCTTTAG